TTTTTTTTTTTTTTTTTTTTTTTTTTACATAGTATAATATAAACCATGTTCGTGACAAATATTTCGTTGATGTAGGATTATTGTTTTGGTTTTTACAAGTGCAAAATACGTAAAAGAGAGGATGAGCAGGGAGAAAGGAGAGATATGAGTTTAAGATTTTAGCGGGTTAGAGGTCGTGCCATCATGGTTACATGCTTCAATATAGAGGTATTTTTATCAATCAGATATGAGAAAGTATTACCCAAAGTAGTGTCTTCAGACATGGCATCATCAGCTGCGATGGTGGTGGTGGCGGTGGTGGTGGTGGTGTCGTTGTTTATACAATTTTCACTTAATAGATCATCGGCATTGCTAGCCGTACTTGCTGCTGCTAAAAGCATCATGGCTGCTGCTGCTGAATCCATAGATGCTGGCGTGCCACTTGTTTTTGTTGTCCAATATTTGCAAGTGATTATTGTTTGCTTAGGCTGTTGAGGCAATTGCTCCTCAGCTAATGATAATTTATAACGATTTAAATCGGTTATGGCGTCATTATTGTTATTATTCTGTTGTAAATTGAAATTCTCTTGCATTTGCTGTTGCTGTTGCTGTTGTTGATAAAAATTTTGTGAAGCTGAATGTCGCCGTTTACGATTTGCAGCCATTTTCAATTTAGCCGCTGAAGTGTTAAAGAATTGTTGAACTTTCTTATACGTGCTGGCAGCAGTTGCCGCTGAATTTATCGAATGAGAATTTTGCCGATTTTTAATGTTTTTCTGTTCGACCATTTCTTGCGTTTCCGTATCGCTTTCCGCACTTTCCAGACTATGACTAACATTTTCATTTTCTATTGGTTTCTCAATCGTTTGCTTACATCGGTTTACTTTCGCAGCTGACGTTGTTGCTGCAATTGGTGGGGGTGGTGTTGTTTGTTGCCAAATTTTTGAAAGATTTTCATGTTCCCAATTTAATTTAGCCAAATATTCTTGCTCTTCGTTGCGGCCCACTTGACGTAAAAGTACTTGCATCGGTTTTAGAGCTCGGTTTTCATTATCGTTAACATTCTTAGCCAATATATCATCGTGTTGCCATATATTACGTTCATGCTGATTGCCAAATTGCCATAAACTGCTTGCGCTGTCGCATTTTGCTGATGGCCATTTAATCGCATTATTTTCGTTTATTTGATGCTCGTCGTTTTTATTACCAACTAACACTTTAGCAGTTTCCTGCGATGGTCTCAATAAATCCTCAATTAGTTGATTAACTTTTTGCAACATACTCGTCTGCACGTTATCCATACCATCCGTGTCCTCTTTTGTTTGGTTTCTCGCTATTTTATCTTTCTCAGTGTTTTCTTCAGCACATTTGAATGTTTTTTGGTTTTCAGTTTCCATTTCATTGTCAGAAAAGTCGGCGGCGTCTTGATTTAGATAATTGCTACCAATATATAAATCTTGCATGTATCTTAAATCGCTCATAATTTCATCAGCTTCCAATCTTAATTCATCTCTTAGCAAACAATTCGCGGGTAACGATCTGTCAAATTCACAAGTGTTACATGCAGCACACATACCCCATAGCGTATGAGAAGAATTGTCTACAGAATTGCCATTTATGCGATCTGAACCCGCGCCACTAAGACGCAAATTTTCATCAGTTACTTGCTCATAAGATTGGCGACGCATTTGACACCAATTTGGATTATCAACAGTAAGCTGATACTGAGAGTTCCTAGAAAAATCGACCTCATCTCGATTGATGATATCTGGCAGCCAAACTCGATAATTATCCACTTGCTCGGAGCGGGCAGCCCAGGAATAATGTCTTGCGTTTAAACGATTTTCAGTGGCTGCTTTTGTAGCAGCAGCCACGGCTTTAGTTACGGCAGCCATTACGGCCTCATTGTTGGCCTGTCTGCTCGTGGCAAAAACATTACAAAACCGGGGAACATTCAATTGCGATGAAGATATATCTCCTAGTCTCTTGATCGCTAATTCAAGATCGTTCTCTTCTGTCTGACAAGCAATCTCACAACCACGTTGTAAACGGAATTTCACCACAAACCCGTCGTCGCCTTCTTTTCGGCCAACAACAAGTGCAGTGCCTTCACCAGTTGATGTTGCTGAATTAATTGAACTAGCAGATGTAACCGATTCTTCATCGGCTCCACAAATATCACCACGTTTATATTCCAGATATTGTTCAGACTCCAAGCGTAAATAACCATTGGCATCGCGTTCGTATTCTACGACATCCAAGACACTGTTAATTTCAAACGTATAACCATCAACAAAAGTTTCGATGGGATGAAAGTGCGTACCATCAAAAGTCAAAAAATCAAAATTATCATCTTCTCCGCCGCCGCTGCCGCTGCCGCCGCCGCTGCCGCCGCCTATCGACGACGCGGTATTGCTATACATTTCCTTTGCCATCTTCTTATCTTGAGTAACCGGTTGTTTTTGGAGCAGCGATGGTGGAGGCGGAAGTGGTGCAACGTATTCTTTAATACGCGAGTACGCGATAAATCCACTTGTTGCTGGACAATGGTTTGGCAGCGTTACCTTTGGACCGGGACCAATATCATCACAATCGTTCCCACCGTTATTGCCTTTATTTTCATTATCATTCGGACTGATAACGCTGTCACAAACGTCATGACCGTACATTTCCGGTAATGACATCGGATTGGAAGCACCCCAAGACTGAAGGTCTGGTCGAAGATTAAGATCACCAGATATATGCCAAGTGGCGTCAGTTGTCGCGGCAGTGCACGCAATTGAGTTCAATGAATTATACTTGCTATCTGGTGGTCGCGCGCTACAATTGGCGAGGCAATTATTATCGACACACGTCTCGTTACTCAAATTATTGCCATTACGAAAATTTGCATACGGAGGAGCGTTAATACCCTCGGACCATTTCAGATTATTGTACGATGGAAACTGCAGCCTGTTAGCACCATCTCCTACATTTTCTTTGGTAAAGATTAGTGAGCTAACCTGAAAAATATAAAAATAACCGACAAAGGAGAATAAGTTTTCCTTCTATTTTTTCTCTAATATTTTAATTATACGTAGCGATACCACGGATTCCGACTTATTAGAATCATAAATATTAGGCTTACACAAAACAGACGGCGACGAGCCTTTCTTTTCTCATTTCTCGTGATCTCCGACTTTTTTTTTTTTTTTTTTTGCATTTCAACTCAATAAGTTATACCGTTTAATCGCGGAAAACACACACGGACACACATCATTAAAATTCGCAAATTGTAGCAGCCTTTCATCGCAACTCAAGCACATTTACGGCAAACTCCGCTTAAACTGTTACGATAAATATCAAGTTAAAAATTTCCTAAACTTCGTAGCGTTTAGGTTTTGCGAGAGTATTATAAGGTGACAAGCAGTGCTAGCAGAGTTATCTAAGTTTATTAGCCATGACTCGAATTTATAAATTAGGCGCAATTCTAAACGTTTCTATGACCAATATTTGTATAAACTGGACAATTTAGATTATTCTTGCATGTGATGATATCAATGCAATGACGAGAAGGGAAATGTTGACTTAATGAAAATAAAATTTTGCTAAGAGCATCCCTTAATTGAAATCCCTACATTGCATTGTGTTTCTGTTTCGAATGATTAGTAGAAAGTATCAAGCCCTAGCTTTCTATATTCATATGGGGGGATTGATTAATTTGGTAGTCTGTGAGGAAATTACCTTTTCTCCACACCCGATGTTAGACGTCGGATCTAATAATACGGATTTCTTGTTCGATTGCCAGACCTTAAAAAGGAAACTTTCATCAGTATCGGCTATAAGCGCAACACCACCAGAACCATCTACATAATCGGCGCTCGAAGACCAAATTGAATTTTGTAAAAATACACCAACTGTAGGAGTTTGTGAGTTAGCAACAGCATCGTTAGTACAATTTCCAACACCAGTGCCGATCTCTAGCCCACAAACGCCTTCGCGACGTATGGCACCAACCGATTTGTCGAATTCTTCCAAATTGATGGGCATAGAAAAGTAATCACTTGTATTAGCAGTATCAGCACCTGCACAAGAACTAGCACTACTCTCATTTAAACGAGTCGTTATCATGGACGATATAGATGTCGCAGATGTTAACTTATTATTTTGATCATAATTAGACCAGAAATTCCATAGCTCCTCCTTGAAAGGAGCTAAAGCATTTACGGACTTAGAAGCATAAAAAGTCGACGATATATTCAAAGTAGCGCTATCACGGTTATTATTATCGGTACCTGTCCCATCCACTTTCATATAACTGTCGGCAGATATTGTTGCAGGCGAATGTATCGTATTGTTGTCACTAGTCGTCTCGACATCTTTCCATAAAGCTTCCACTTTGCTATTAAATTTAGCTTCAAACTGAGCAAAACTTAATTGCTGATCATCATTTTCTATTGCAGTTTTAACTGTCGCGTCATCATCAATTGCTAAAGAACTCTTTGAAAGACATTCCCGTTGATAAAGACGCTTCGCCGTCGAGCTTGCACTAATATCTGAAACCAAAACTGAAGAGCTTTCATCATCATAATCGACATCGTTATCAGCATGATATCTGTAGAAGTCATCTTCATCGCAACAAAAGGAAATATCCACATTAGGCATTGTCGTGCAAGTTAAATATCGTGGACGACGCGTAGCCGCCTTTTTATTATTTAATATTTTTGAATTATCAGCTTTTCCATTACTATTTGAAACCATACTCGTATTATATACAGTACCAGCACTACTTTCAGAAGTGCTACGATTTCGTTTGTGACCGCCCTCCTTTTGACGTAAAAGAAACTCCTTAATGAGATCGGGTCCCATTTCCCAGCAACCCTGAAAATCTGTATCCCAAATGGCCGAACTTGGTGAAGAGCAACGTTGATGTGATGGCTGTTGTTGATGGCAATTGCTTTGTTGTTGCTTATTATTGCTACCGCCACTGTTCACTGCGCCCGTTAAACTATTATGAACGCCGCCAAGTATCGTTCGGCGAAAATTCTGCAAAGGTTTCGGCTTATAATGCGGCGGATGATTACGGCGACGTTTCGGTTTACGTTTTAAATTGGATGCCATGAATCCCTGATTGGAATTACTGTCTGCTACGCTACCACTACTACTAGTTAATTCTAATTTCTTTTTCTCTAAATCAATTTTTTGGCTCGTAACGGCACAGTCGTAATGTGATGACGGATTGATGCTATCTTTCGCTGAACAATTATTATTATCGCTTGCAATGCGTCCTACTACAGGCCAAGTTAAAGATTTTGCGTTACGGCGCCATACACGAAACGACTCTTCCATTTCTTTGGAAAGAGCTGGAAAAGCTCTGAAATAACGTTTTGTTGGATCGTTATCAATATCGTTCACTTTATTCCCAGTATCTTTGTTAACATTTGCTTCGGTTAAATTTTGCTTTTGCGTATTACTGGTGTGATGTTTTGTTGCTGCCCTCTGTTGTTGCTGCTGTTGCTGCTGCTGCTGTTGTTGCTGTTGCTGCTGCTCCTGATGTAAATCTAAGTGATGTTGTGGTGCTTGCTTATCGTTGTTGTTGTGATTATTATTATTATTATTATTGTTATTGTTATTGACTGTTGTAGCCAAAGGTTTTGCTAATGTTGTTATTGTTATTGGCGTTAATAGAAAACGTTCATCACTGTAATATAAATCTTGAGATTGCTTCTCAATATCATTTAATTTAATGCATAATTCATCAACTAGTTGCTCTAGTGTTGCTGTCTGTGAAGAAGAAAAAACAAACAAACAAAAAAAAAAAAAAAAAAAAAAAAAATACCAAAAACAAAAACAAAAAATCATATATTAAAAATAATAACATATTACAAGCATGTTTCGTTAAAGGATAAAGAACGCAATTTACGTTTACCGCAACCCACCTCATGCTCAGTTGATACAATCTCACGTAAACATTGTACGGCATTCAATTTTTTCAAGGTTTCCGTATCGGGAGGTAAGTGGTAGTGATGATGATGATGATAATGATGATGATGATAATAACGTTTGCTATGATGGCTTCCGTTTCCACCTCCTCCGCCCTTACGATTGGCAAAATATATCTAGATAATGAAATATATGACCGAGAAAAATCGAAAGTAAATATTAATGGCAATGGCTTTAGAGGATGAATATAGTGAGTGTACATATGTGTATTTATATATATGTAAATTTATACATATACATGCATGCACTTATGTGTATATATATATATATATATATATATATATGAATATGTTTATATGCAAATATAAAATATAGGTATATGGATGCATCACTTGCCAATTCGATTAACTACATTTTGGGAATTTTATTAAATTTTAATATCAAAGTACATCATTAGCTCGTAACTGTACATATTCAAAACGAATTTCTCTAATAATAAGTAGTGTTAAACACTACTAAATATGATAAAATCTAACTAACTAATAAATAACTAACTAATAAATAATTTATTTATAATATTTTTACATATTTCTCAATTTTTTGTTTTATGGAGTTAATCGATTTGGCAAGTGAAGCAACCACATATATATATATATATATATATATATATATATATATTTTGTATATATACACGAGTGTACACGCGTATATGTGTATGTGTGCATAGATGTTGTATTTAAGTATTTGATAGGTAGGTGCACAACAAATTTTGTAATTGTAAATATTCAACACGAAAAAAAAAAAAAACAAAAAACAAAAAAAACGCAAAAAACCAAAGAAAACAATAATAATAATAATAATAATAATAGTAAAAACATGAATAGTAATAATAATAATAATCATAATAATAATCATAATAATAATAATAATAATAATCATAATAATAATAATAATCATAATAATAATAATAATGATAATAATAAAAATAATGCAATATATTAAAATTTAGAACATGAATTTTGACTTTACTTCCAAGTTGCTGAACTCAATTGGATCGTTTACTTGAACTGACGATTGTAAGAGAGATAGTAGGAGTCTAGTATAGATCTGTGGTGATTCAACGCCTAATTGCTCCAAACGTGATACTAACCAATCAGAGATGGCGTTCACGGCACGAGTTGATACAAGCTGCGGATACTTCATACCTTTAAAAAAAGAGTTTTGCAAAACAATAACAACAAATATAGAGAAGCAATTCTAGTTTAAAAAAAAATAAAAACAAAAAAAAATATATATATATATATATATATTAAAAGAAATCAACGTTTTGTTGTTTTATTCCGAAGAATCTAAGGATAAAATGCTTGATGATTGCATTTTTTGTTGTACCCAATACCGGAAGAGGATAGGTAGTATACTCATACTTCCATAGTGTCATAATGTGTGTGTGTGCGGGTGTGTGTGTGTGTGTGTGTGTGTGTAGGATCAGAAAGGAAGGTTTAGAAAGGAAACCCTAGATAGTATATTTATTCTTGTTCAGCGTGAAATTTTGAATCGATTAAGTCATGTCTGTCCGCCCGAGCGGCTTTTGTCTGACCGCATAAATGAAGATATCGACTTCAAGTTTGGCAGAAAGTTTGGAATTGGAAGTTTCTACAGGTATTGGTCAAATCGAATTGGTGACAGTAAAGCATAAACTGAACGCAGCTTTATTCCTCTAAGTTCAAAAAGTTGTCGACTTTTGCTCATTACTTCCAAGCTACGCTAGATAAAAGGCGGAAATTTTCGACATCTACTCTTAATGTGCAAAAAAATGAAATAAAAATCGATCAGGCCCACACAAAACCTTTAGGTGATTAAGTTTGCTTTTTCTCACTTTTTTGAGATTTTATTCTTACTTATAATCCTAAGACAGAATTTATTTTTTACTTTATATGCCTAAAAATACATTAATTCGAAAATAAATGCGATGAATATCACGGCGTGGTGGATTTATTTTTTCTTAATAATTCCATCGATATTGATTGATATCGAATAAAAAGAACTTTGAGAGTAGAATGCTAAAAAGCTAACTATGCTAGTTGTATATACTAATTATGATGGACGTCACAATGTAGTGAACTAAATGGTGTAAGATAAATTTAATTCTGATCGCTTTTCTATAACTAGAAATGAAATGGCATGGAGCACTAAAAATTTTATTGGTGGTGGTGTGGTCGTCTTATTTATTGAAAAATAAATGTTACAAATTTCCAAACATGTTGCTGAGAGAGCCTGAAAATTGCGTCTCTTCTTCCTCGATATTATTTTGAGGCATCAATTTCAAAAAATGAGAAAAAAAAAAAAAAAGAAAAGGCGCTATGTCGGAGGACACGAGTCAAAGGTGTAAGATAAAGTAATATCAATATCGAATATATATTTAGTCATATTTTTGATCTAGCATAGTGTGTAGATTTACACATGGGCTTTATGCAACGTCTCCAACGGAAAACATTTTTACTAAATAGGCTAAATAGTTTTCGCGAATGAATTGAAAAAGTATGCAAAATAGACAATCAAGTTACCGTTTCGTAGGTAAAAGAAGGAAGAAATGATTATCAAACAAGTAAACGATGTATGGAATAATTGTTTGGCCATATGGCTAATTGCCGATCAACTGCTACTGGTCTACTACAGATCTCCCCCCCCCC